TAATTATATCATCATACTCACATATAATTTTTAGGAAATTTTTCTATAAGGAGTAGGAGTTTTTTTTGAGGGAGAGCTCTTCCATAAAAGTTTTTTGAGTGGCTGAAAAGTTGCAATAAATCATAGATTATTTGAAAACCAATAAAAGGTTTATAATGCAACATATGCATCCCATTAAAACATCTCGAGCTTTCAATAATATTTTATTTTATTATAAGGGATGGTTTTTAAGGGTTGCAACTTTGTAATAAGTCGTGAGCTTAGTAATGAATAAAAAAGAAATTCAATACATTATGAATGCACCAAAAGAATATTTTTAACTGTTAAAAACCTTTTTTTCGATTTTTTTGGCCATGGAAGGTTAGCTTTTAAGGATTTTTAAGGGTTGAAAAGTAATTAAAATTCATAAATTATATTAAAAAACATGAAAGGAACTTTATCCAACATATTTGAAAAGGAATTGAATCTTTGAAATACGTAAATTTGCGATTTACAGAAGGGCAGTTTTCACCCCCAAATAGAAAAAAGCACACATCTAGACAATATAACTTTTGAAGTGGGGGGTCAGATGGGCTTGTATGCAAATTTTCAGGTAAATCCATGCTATCCGAAAAAATTGGGAGCTTTTACTTTATTTTCGCCTTCAGTGACTGGACTATTATAATAACAACTTTATTGAGTTTTTGTTTGATAAGTATTGTCAATTATTTTTCCTATTTTAAAAGTAATCAGACAAATTTTTAGAATCCTCGTACTTTGATATTTCCCAGATGGTAATTACATAAAGAGGATTAGGATTTATTGGAATACTAGTCGTCAGGTAAAATATTTGTATCATTTATCAGAATTAAATCCTTAAGTAGATACCTTCCTTTCTCATGGGTTTCCTTTAAAGATTAAATTTAATTCATTAGGTATTATTTTCTTAATTTTTAAGATCATTTACTCATATTTAGAACAACTACCACAAATGGCCATTTCAGTATAAGAATTAAATTTATTTAATAAACAAAATTGAAATATTTCAAGTTTGTAGATTCAGGTATTAAATTAAACAAAAATATCATTTGGTCTACTCAGATTATGTAATATTGAGGAGAGCGCTTAAAAATAAGGTAATGGTACAAGAGCTATTAAAATATGTATAATAAATAACATGTTCTTGAAAGAAAATATATCTGAGACATTAAAATATACCTATAGGACCACAATATGTCAAAAATGCAATGAATGTAAGAATATTTTCTTATAAAAACATTTGCTGTTGAAGTTCATATAGTTTCCAAAAAGAAAGTTATATCTCTAAATATCTTCTGAAGAAATGAGAATACTGAAATTTCATGCGTGAAAAAATTGTATGTGTACAGGATGTTCACGAAATGGTGGCAATGAAAAGGTAAGTCTTGTATAAATGACTTCACATTATTAGCCGTCGATTTGAGTGTTGTGATGTGAAGCAATTTTTACTAATCTATTCAGTTTACCGATAGATATCTTTGGGACCTGCCTATTTAATTTCTATAGTTGTTTTTAAGAATTTTATACTTTGTTAAGAGAGAAAAAAATAACATTGATTCACAATAAACATGTTTAGCGATAAAAATACCAACCTATTTATACCATTTCATAATAGTAGGTAATACATACTTGAAAGCGGTTAGTTCTTCAAGCAACAAAGTAAATGTTCAATTTGAAATATCATTTAATATTACGGACTTATTTTGTTGCATACATTTTTATTTTCAGGCATTTATTAGTGCGAAATTTACTGTGGCTGTCCTAATCAACCTATTTCAATTTTTCAATAACCATTTGAAAGGTTGAGCGATCTTTTCTACGTGAAAAAATTTTCAGGTACATAGATGCTTTATTTGAGGCTGTGCAAAATTTTGAAATTTGAAAAAATATTTTTCAAATTTTTTTTCAAAAAATTATTTTGCGAAAACTATAGGACCGATTTTAATGAAATTTGGTGTTTTGTTTTATTATACTAAAAAGTTTTTTTTGCCAAAATTAGAATGCCCTCGGAGCAATTAAAATATTTTTAAAAAATTAACCAAGAAACTTGATTATTTTGCTATTTTGCAACATCGGTAATAAATTTAAACATTTTTAACTTACAGTATATTGTGCAAAATTCAATTCTAAACCTGTTTCCTCTTCAATATTCTTCCAAAATGCATAGGTTCCAAGATGTAAGTAAAAAACTCAGATAAAATAGGTATTTTTTTTAATTTTTTCAACATTTTTGCAATTTTTGCAAATGTTCCGGACCTCGCCCAGATCTACACTTTTATTATGTGAGTTGTACTGAAGGTTTTCCAGCAAAAATTAGCTTGCCCCTCTTACATCCAAGAAAAAAAAATTTTTGTTCCCTAGAACGTGGAAATACAGTCCATCTGAAAGATCGTTAAATTTTGAGTAATTTTTGTAATATAAAGTTTTTCTCTATATTTACTTTTATTCGAGATATGTTGACTTCAATATGCAATGTATGATATAATAAGAAAATCTATTTATTTTATTTAAATCACACCGAGACAAAATGTTCTTTTCAAAATATTGTTATAATGACTTTATTCATATCACATACTAACAAACAATAAATTATAAAAAAACGAATGATCAACTACAGAAAAAAAATGTACAATGGTAAATCTTATAAGGGTCAGAGACGAACCGCATTTTATCAAATGCAGTCATAGGTGGCTCATGTCATTTGTTTAAAATAAAACAACGAATGATGACACATATTAGTTTTCCAATATTTATAGTTTTATCAGTTTGCGTCTTTCAATTTAACTGTACTAGTTATAAGATTTACCATTGTACAATTTTTTTTCTGTAGTTGATCATACGTTTTTTTTATAATTTATTGTTTGTTAGTTTTAATATGTGATGTGAATAAAGTCATTATAACAATATTTTAAAATAATATTTTGTCTAGGTGTGATTTAAATAAAATAATAGATTTTCTTATTACCTATATCACACATTGCAAATTGAAGTCGACATATCTCGAAAACAAGTAAATATAGGGAAAAACTTTATATTTCAAAAATTACTCAAAATTTAACGATATTTCAGATGGACTGTATTTCCACGTTCTAGGGAACAAAAGATTTTTTAGTACCGCCACGCCATCTTTACAGAAAGACTTTTAACTAACAATTCTAACTCCAATTTGAAGCCATTCGAGGGACCTAACAATCCCAATTTCCGAAACTAAAATAAATTTCTTCATTTAGGAGATATTGGCANACGTGGAAATACAGTCCATCTGAAAGATCGTTAAATTTTGAGTAATTTTTGTAATATAAAGTTTTTCTCTATATTTACTTTTATTCGAGATATGTCGACTTCAATATGCAATGTATGATATAATAAGAAAATCTATTTATTTTATTTAAATCACACCGAGACAAAATGTTCTTTTAAAATATTGTTATAATGACTTTATTCATATCACATACTAACAAACAATAAATTATACAAAAACGAATGATCAACTACAGAAAAAAAAATGTACAATGGTAAATCTTATAAGGGTCAGAGACGAACCGCATTTTATCAAATGCAGTCATAGGTGGCTCGTGTCATTTGTTTAAAATAAAACAATGAATGATGACACATATTAGTTTTCCAATATTTATAGTTTTATCAGTTTGTCTTTCAATTTAACTGTACTAGTTATAAGATTTACCATTGTACAATTTTTTTTCTGTAGTTGATCATACGTTTTTTTTATAGTTTATTGTTTGTTAGTTTTAATATGTGATGTGAATAAAGTCATTATAACAATATTTTAAAAGAATATTTTGTCTAGGTGTGATTTAAATAAAATAACAGATTTTCTTATTACCTATATCACACATTGCATATTGAAGTCGACATATCTCGAAAACAAGTAAATATAGGGAAAAACTTTATATTTCAAAAATTACTCAAAATTTAACGATATTTCAGATGGACTGTAATTCCACGTTCTAGGGAACAAAAGATTTTTTAGTACCGCCACGCCATCTTTACAGAAAGACTTTTAACTAACAATTCTAACTCCAATTTGAAGCCATTCGAGGGACCTAACAATCCCAATTTCCGAAACTAAAATAAATTTCTTCATTTAGGAGATATTGGCAGCGGGAGCGTTAAATGGCACACCCTGTATATTTTTATGGATTTTCTTGTACTATTTTTCCGGCAGTTTTCATGTTACATTGTAAAATCAAATTTGGATATTTTTTATCATATTACTCGTATTGCAATCATGTTTTCTTGAACAGTTCAAAATGAAAGACTAAAAAAATATTTAGTAACCAGTTTTGCAAATTATTTTTCCTACACGAATACTTCGTAAATAATTGTGTAGTAATTAATGCTGTCTTTTTCATATCAATATTTACAATGAAGATTTTACACTTTATTTCCTAATTTATGTGAGTGTAAGTAAAACGTAAAGCACTTTAGATGATGATATATTTATTAAAATAGCAAAAAAATATTCACAGTTCATTACAAAAAAATGGAATTAAAATCGTATGTTTTATACAACCCATTTTTTGTATTACATATACGAGTATTATATGTGTAAGATTGTCATATAATACAAACATTAATAAAAAAAAAAGATATCAAATAGCTTTAATTTGACAAACAAACTAAAATCATGTAAGTATAGCAATTATTTTAAATGTAACATAATAGGTACGTAAAAAAAACAGTTATTTTCTCTTAAAAATATTTACCGAATAATTCAGGGTGCCGTCTTCATCACAATGTCTTTTCACTAGTTCGTGGTGCATAACAAAATGTCTACCTTTCAAGAACATCTCGCTGTCATCCTCCAACGGGTAGCAGGGCGCTATCACGGTAACCACCTTCGTGTTGCCGTCCCGCTGCAAATAGGACATCTCAAATCCGAACCTATCCTTCCCCAGGGGCTTACCTAGACAGTAAACCGCAAAACGCATCAAACCAGTCTCACTGTCCAGATCCCAGGTGCATCTAAAAAGATTGTTGAACACGTAGAACACTATATAATAAATCCTGTCGATGCGGTTTCTAAACCTAGACGATCGGAACTTCTGCCTGGTGGTGAAGAAAATGTTGTATCGATGATGGGTCCTGCAGTGAGCTATCATTTCGGATTTGTCCCCTTGCCACCGACAGCCGTTGAACCTGAGGGCACAAGGGACCACGGAGAACTTACAGTGCTTCTGGTGGAGCGTTATTTCCTTGCACGGGGCTTGGAAGTCACACCCTTCTTCCACGTAAAGGCACGGGAACGTGAGACAGGTCTGCACCTTCTCCAAAGTGATGGAGCGGTTTTCTGATTTCGGGGCCCTGCAAAGGGCGCATCTCGGGATCTTGTCGAAGCAGTCCTGGCAGAAGCAGTGGCCGCTGCGGCATTGGCGGATCGGCGGCAGTATGTACTTGGTGCAGATGGGGCACTCGAATTCCGATAGGAACTCTTCGTTGAGTAAAGTTGCTAGTTGCTTCTCCATGGGGTTTTCTCGGTGGGACGTCGAATACTGAACTGCCAAGAGAAATTATTTACGAGGAGAATTATATGTGAGCAGTCTAATTATTATACTAATTGTTGCATAATTATTGTCAATTATTGTTCATATTTTAAGATTGTAATTATGTAAAGGAGATTAGGATTTATTGGAACAATAGTAGTCAGGTAAAATATTTGCATCATTTTTCAGAATTAAATCCTTAAGTAGGTACACCCCTTTCTCATGGGTTTAATTTGAAGGCTAAATTTAATTCATTAGGTATTAAGTAGTTACATTCTCTGAATGTTTAAGATGATTTACTCATATTTAGGACAACTTTACTTTTAGGTAATTCAAACGTATTGTTATGTTTTATTAATTTGGAAATTTTAATTCTTTTATCGGCACCGAGACACAAAAGTGTGGAATTAACACAAATTTTGATATTAAATTTATTTCAAATAGTCACTAGGTGTGAATTACTATAATGGACTAAAATGGAAGATGTGTACAGATAGTATAAGATAAGTTAAAAATTTGTAATTTATGTAGTCCATTGAAAAGTTACATTTGGGGTTGCAAAAGTCAGAGCACGCAATTTTATTTTTTGGATGTCAAGAGAGTGTTAGTGTAAAGTTAAATCCATGTTTGTGGGGTCGCAACCCTTGTGCGTCGGCCGCCATCTTGTAAAAAGGGCTGCGAATGGTTTTTATAATACTACTTACTATATCGGCCAAATTATTCGTCGCACAGAAAATTTGTAAATACAGTTTTCGTTGCAAATTAAATTCTCTACAACTTTGGTGCAGAAACTTTTAGTAGTAGAACCAAAAATAACAAAGTTAATTAACGAAAATTGATAAAAGTTTGGAAACAAATTTTCTTTTGATCGTTATAACCTCTTTCTCGTCATTTTACAAAAAAATTACATCAGAGCATTTTCATAGGTTTTCAAGGAATAATATCCATTGCAAACATTTTTCAAATTGTATTTATTTCTTAGGGTTTTACAGCGATGCGAAACTTACACTATTCTCCAACTAGTAACTATACATTAATATGAATGATTAGGCGGATAATCTGTTGTTTCTTCATGCCTTCTCAGGATGTGACACGATTTCAGCAGCTTACAACATCGGTAAAATGAGATATCTTACAACCCTGGAGACACGTCCTGAGTTAGCTAGTGGAACAGCGTTATTCCTCAATGAGAGAGTCGACCCTACTTTGCTCACTGCCGTTGGCGAACGTTTTTTCATCCTTTATATGGTGGCAATAAAGATGATAATTCTCTTGACAGTCTTAGATATAAACGATTTGCCAAGTCAGTGACAAAGAATACATTTAATTTGTCTTCACTTCCTCCAACACAAGACACAGCCCGCTTGCACAGCCTCCGAGTCTATCATCTGGTCCAGTCGTGGTTCGGGAATTACAACAACCAATACTGAGGCTGGAAAAAGTATGGACAAATATTGATGCCTGTTCAAAGTTCAAAACCTCCGGCACCCCCCTGAGCTTCTAGAGTTGATATTCTGCCGATGCAAAGGAAACTGTGGAGCAATGTGTGGATGTCGAAAGGCAGGCCTCAAATGTTCTGCAGCGTGCCTGATGTTCTGGGGAGACATGCAGCAACATAATGGAGATATAAAAATTGATAGAGGAGAATGATTTTGAAGATGAACTGCCAACAATGACGCCACATCATTCTCCATCTTTCCTCAACAATTCAATATCGGAAGCTCCACCAGATCCTGAGTCGCAGCCTGGCACATCAAAGAGACTGAGGACACAGTAGATTGGGAAATACATACTAGGGATACGACGTAAAAAAAACACCCGCCACCAGACTCTACCCCGTAGGGGGTGGGGAAAAGAGTCAATAACTAATTAACATTGCAATATAAATCATTAAAATGTTTCTTATAAAAATAATGGAAAGATGAGAGAAAACTATGCCTAATCATTCATATTAATGTATACTAGTACTGGAACTATTCTCCAGTAAGTTTCGCATCGCTGTAAAACCCTAATTAATAAATAAAATTTGAAAAAAGTTTGTAACAGAAATTGTTCCTTGAAAACCCCTCTATCAAAATGCTCTGATGTAATTTTTTTGTAAAATGACCAGAAAAAAAGTTATAACGACCAAAAGAAAATTTTCCCAAATATTTATCAGTTTTCATTAATAACTTTGTTATTTTTGGTTCTACGACTAAAAGTTATGGCACTAAAGTTGTAGAGAATTTAATTTTCAACAAAAAATATATTTACAAATTTTCTGTGCGACGAATAGTTTGGCCGATATAGTAATAGTATTATAAAAACCATTCGCAGCCCTTTTTACAAGATGGCGGCCGACGCACAAGGGTTGCGATCCCACAAACATGGATTTAACTTTACACTAACCTCTTGACATCCAAAAAATAAAATTGCGTGTTCTGACTTTTGCACGCTAAGCCCAAAAAAAATGTAACATTTCAATGGACTAATGATATTTTCACGACAAAACATCTCGACTGTCAAAGTTATAACTAAATTTGAATTTGCATATTCATTAAACTATGTAAATGCACTCATGTTGTACAATTATGTTACAAGGAACAGTAAAGAACAATGTTACAATATTAAAAGTCAATTATAAGTTCTGGCATGATCACATTTAATCATCATAGCGAAATTTTGACAAGATGACGGTATTTCACATATAATTCCGATTCATGCAATAAAACTGGTATGTAAACGAAGCATAGTGTACCTGTAGCCAGAATATATGGGTGGAATTAAATATATGCATCTGTGAAAACTTTTCTGTAGCGTATAAATCTTGACAGTTGTTGTTCGGTTAGAATTTTGTAAATTGTTAGTTGTAAAAGTGTATCAGGACAGCAAAATCATATGTGCAGAATGTAAAAGACCCTTACAACTCCATAAAATGTGTTTAAACTCCAACCAAAGGTCAATTTGTTGTGTAGACTTTATAATGCTTGTCGGTACGGAGTACTCTAAAACTTTCTTTCGTTTACATCTGAAGAAAGGAATAAAGACTGTGTAAAAGGTGTTTAATAGGTAGTACTAAAGACATAGAAGGGACAGACATGCTGAGAATTAGTCTATTCATCAAAATTAAGGTGAAATTTGTAAAATAAGTAAAAATTTGGCATAACTTTTAACTTAACCTAGAAACGTGCAATTGGTGTCAAAAGATGCAGGAAAATGCAAGGAAGCTGAAAATAGAAATTTCATGCATCACAATTCAATCCAAAAGTCAGTATTTGCATAAATAAAATTTCAAAAACGCTTGTTGTACGTTGCTATAGTAATTTTCATTTGTTTTCCACGTTTAATAAAACCAATATCCGGGCTCGAGGTAGCCAGTCTTCCATGTTTACCTGTAGCAGTAACATCGTTAGTTTGCTCCTAGAAAAACAACTGCTATCAGTTAAAATCAACAAGTCAGTAAAAATTGTAAACTTACCCAGTCGTCTTGGCGATCTAATGTCGTGATAAAATTCAACAGTCAAAAGTCAGAATGTTACATTAGTGGAAGTGACATTAGTCACTTATTAAACAAATTTGCAAATTTGAAACACAAAGCGTTATAATAAATCTTTACATTAAAATTCTCACTGTATATTTATATATAACTGATGCACAGTTTTAACCAATTCAACTACTGACAGTATAAACACATTTATGCACTGTTATAGTAGAAATTTAGGGGGAAATTTATTGTTCATTCATCTAGTTTAAGGATTACAACAATTGTAAATTGTAACAAAACCCATAACCCGCTAAATCTAGTAATATATTGATATTTTGTTATTTTAATTACATCCTTCATTAAAAGAAATTAGAGTAGAAATTCAATACATCAAATTTAAATCAAAATATAAAAATAAAACAAAACAAAGGAACCCACGCATTGAGAGAGTCTCATAATTCATAATCAATCATAATAACAAAACAACTACAAATAAAAAAAATAAAGGCGTCCACAAACAAAAACGTAATAATATATTTACTTTCTATTTCAATTCAAAATTCAGTACCAAAAATTTCCGTTTCAGTCTGATAATTAAATTAAAGTAATGAAACTACAATAAATAAACAATATTCCAGATTTGTATAATGTATATGTAGGTATTCAATAAAATGAAAATATCATTTGGTTGACTCAGATTATATTGAGGTAACTGTTCCTGTGTAATTAGGCATACACAAAAACGGTAAATAATAATAATTATAGTGTGATATTTAAAACATTTATTGAACGCACGATAATGATCGCCATTTTGCTTCAAATTAATTAACGCTGTTTCAATTTACTCGTTACCAAGCAGCGAACATCAAATTGGTTCGAATAAAAGCGACAAATATGCAGTAATCTCGTTAAAAACATTACTGATGGTGTTAGATTTATTTCACGTTTAATACAAATATTGCCAGTTTATTATTATATCTTGGGTATAATCTTTTTTTATTCAGGGTGAGTCAGTTTTTTGTAGACAAACTTTAATAGGAGATAGAACACATGTGTTTAACAAGAAAAGTTCCTATAAACGTATGTCGTAGAAGGCTTCGTTTCCGAGATACAGGGTGTTGAATATAATTTTTTTTCTCGAATTTTCATTATAACTTATAAACGAATGCTTAGATTTTTTTCATGTTTGGGGGATAATGCCTATTAATTAAGGGGCACAAAACAAGCGATAAGAATGTTCAAAAACTTGCAGATTGGCGGAGTGGGGGGAGTTCTCAACCCCTTTTTTAAACAGAACTTCTACGCCAATGACTATTGTTTAAAAAAAACTATTATTTTCATTATCTACATACAGTTTAACAAAAATAATGTCCCTTCTTCTGTTTCGAAATTCCTGTGAGTTTCCGAGTTATTTTTATTTTTAGTGTTTGATGTGGTACTAAATTAAGTAATTTATTTATTATCAATTATCGGCTAAATATTTAATTCTTTCAACGAAACCTACCGAAATATGGTTTGTTAAGGATTCTAAAAAGCCGAAATCTCTTATTCTCTATCTCTTTCCAATGTAGTCAAAATAAATATTTGTTATATCAAGCCATACTCAAATACAAGACTTTTATAAGTTGAAATCTGTTACATTACATACATACAATACATTATTATACAGTTGCCAAAAAGTTTTAAGAAGTTTCTTTAAGTTTTATTAAACTTATGTATGTACAAATTTCCCTTTCAATTTTCGTTGTTTTTTGCTAAATAATTTCCATTTAAAACGAACAAATTAGTATTCCAACAAAATACATATTATACTCCTTGGAAAACAAGTAAATATTAAATGTCATATTTTTTAAACGACAATTTGACTTATCACAAGTTTATCTACAAACATTTTTGCTCTCTAAATGAAGGGGTCTAAACCGTAAGAGTTCGAAACCTCCAGTTTTCATAGTTCGTTTTGGCATAAATTACTCTCTATCTTGTCACCTGCGAGCAGACACGTGCTTCGTTCATTAAAGTAAGACAAAAAAATTGTAACAAATGGTTGTTGCTAAGAGGTTCATAGACAAGTAGGTTCAGAAGTAATTAAGTATTATTTTCACAAGACTTTCTCTCAAAATACCACCAAATACTCTCTCTATATTCAGCTGCACTCAATTCGCGTTATCAGACATGTAATTGAGCATATATCCTGTGCAAATCAATAGTTACTTTTCTTTTCCGCCAGTCTTCATGGATAAAAAGCAGACAGACCTTGAATTTATGTTTACTGGATTCGTATTTCAAATTAACCCTCTCCAGGGACGGCAGTTATTCCGACTCACGGGGTGTAATATATCTTCGGGGGATGTCGCTGTGTACGCTGATATTCCTGCTATCAAAATCAGAGACTAAAAAAATCCACTTCATAAAAAGTAAATAAAATATGAATTAAAAGTCTCCCCTGTAGTTATTTTTTCTTGATAACCAGTTTTTTGGATAAATTAATAACGATACCCATGATTTACGTTGTACTAATTCAAAAACATTCTAAAAATCTTATCAAATATATTATTTTTAAACAAATAAAGTTCCTTGATACCTTGATCCTGACCAGCACTGAATTATGTAAAATTAAAATTAAAAACTATACTAAATGCTGATATACTGAAATCATTTAATAATGTAAAATTTTGTTAGTTTTCGAGATACAGAGTGTTGAATTTGAAAAAATAAATAACATTTTGTTTAATATCTTTCGACTACTTCGAGCTAATTTCGTGAAATTTCGTATGTGTTTTTTTTTTTTGATGAGAAATTCGAATTTATCGACGATTTCGTTGTATCTTCTCAGAACGCATTTAAACTGCCAAAACTGTTTTTGCTGCGGTGTATTTCACTTTGGGCTAGAAAAGTCTTTCCCTCTTAAAAGAGGTATTATATCTCTAAGCCAATCGTTTTCAACAAAAAGACATTTAAATATGTAAATGCATAAAAAAAAGTTTTACAGTCATTTTCAACTTGAAAAGCATATATTTTAAGACAGGTCAATAATAATTAGTTATTTTTTAGATTTTTAGGTCGCTTAAATCAGTAACATTGTCTAGATTGTGTTAAATTGATTAGATTCTTTTTAGAAAGTGAGTTTATTACTTTGTCAATTCTTTTTGCAGTAAAATTGTTAAATAAACGAAATTAAAAATTGTAATTGCACTGTTTCCTTTAAAGGTTTCTTGCTAATAAACGATTGTTCCCAATTTCGTTATCATATCAGTGGAGTTGAAAATAACTTTTAAACAAATTGTTTTATGCATTTACAAAATAAATTTAAATACCTTTTTATTGAAAACAGTTGGCCTTAAAGCTTGACTTTTTTTAAGCATAAAAGTTGGGGGAAAAGATTTTTCTAGCCCAAAGTGAAATACACATTGTCACAAAAAAGTTTTGGCAATTTAAACGCGTCCTAAACGTCGCTTGTGGTGCCCTCTAAAAGATACAACGAAATCGTCGATAAATTCGAATTTCTCATCCCAAAAATACCCCGAATACGAAATTTTACGAAATTAGCTTGAAGTAGTCGAAAGATATTAAAGAAAATGTTATTTATTGTTGAAGGTGACACCCTGTATCTCAAAACTAAGCGTTTGTGAGCAACATTGTACATAACTTTTACCCATTAACAATCATCGTAGAATCTAGTGGTAAAGCTAATTCTTTAACGAACACCTTGTGTATTTTTTTGGGTTTTCGTATATTATCTTTTTTGCAGATTTCTTGTTACTTTATAAAATCAAATTTGGATACATTTTAGCAAATTTTTGTAATCAAGTTTTCTTGAATAACTCAGGGTGCAAACTGCTAGAAAAATGTTTAGTAACTAGTTTTGAAAATTATTTTTCCTATGCCAATACTTAATAACAAAATTGTGTTTAGATATTGTGTTTCATAGTTTTCGTCTTTTTCTTTATTTTTTGAAAAATTTCTGAAATAAACAAAATTTTGGTATAGTTCATAGGAAAAATTATTTAGAGAGTTGAATTCCCCGTCAAAATAGCTTATTTAAAAAATTTAAAAGGAATATTGTATACAAGAAAATCGTTAATAAACAATTTGAAAAAAAGCAAAAAATTCGATTTTCTGATTTTTTTTTACTTTTTTGCATCTAGTTTTTTTTAGTAAAGATAGGTATAGGCATTGCTTCATAGAAAAAAAAGTAGGTAAAATTTCCTTCCAAACAAGAGGTTGTATTTTTTTTATTTTTTTACTTTTTTTTATTTTTTTACTCTATATGTATCCCACCACAAAAATTGAAATCTTTATTTTAAAATTTATATTAGGACATTATTTGAGTCTATATACAGATATTATATTATTACACATTTGTTATATAAAAATGTTATGTAAATTAACAAATAATGGTACTTCTCTCTTGAGTATTTTCGAGGTTTTTTAATTTATGAGTAACCTGTATATCTAATCTAAGATGTTTGTATGACAGTCTCATTTTTACGAGGGTCAGAACATTTTATAAAGAGTGACATTTTTCGATAAAGTCAAAAACAAAAGAGTTTCTCATCTTGTCAACTCCATCCGTGGACACACTGTATGTACATTACTAATGAACTTTATAATACTTAAATCTCAAGTTTTTAATAAATTATTTTATTAATGAAGTAAAAAAATCAAAAAATCTTATTTTTTGCTTTTTTATAAAATTGTTTATTAACGATTTTTTGCATAAAATGTTTCTTTTAAATTTATTTATTTATTTATTTATTAAATTTAAATCAGCCATTTCGATGAGAAATTCTCTAAATAATTTTTCCTATGAACTATAGCGAAAGTTTGCTTCGTTTTCGAGCTACAATTAAAAAACTGAAAGGGGTGCATTTTCACTTCTATCTCCAATTTCCACCCTCTAATGTAATAGCACTCCGCGGTTTTTTTTTTATCTAAAATGACCCTTTGAACGATTCATGCAATAAAATTGCTTGAACGACATAGTTCTTTTAACCCTATTCTTTAGATATATTCAATAGCCTAAAGCGTTTCTTTTTTAAAATAATTTTGCCTAACCATATAATTTCACACTGAAAAAAGCAAACAAATACAAAATATAGTACAAAAAATACTTCACTTTGTTCCAGGAGCTTTAAAAAGTTGTTGACGTTTCGTAAATCTATTCGAAATTTTTTTCACAGATGGCGAAATACCCAAAAAGCAAAGAAGTTGTGTGGTAATAATAGTGTCTTTTTGTTATCAATAGAGATTGTACACTTTCTTTTCTAATTTTTGTAAGTTTAAATAAAAATGAACCAGACAGATGTTGAAACATTTATTAAAATAACAAAAAGTATTCACAGTTCATTACAAAAAATTAAATTAAAATCGTATGTTTTATACAACCCTTGTTTCTCTATTACATATATAATATGTACGATTGTCATATACAGGTAATACAAACATTAATAAAAAAGATATCAAGTAGCTTTAGTTTCACAAACAAACTAAAATCGTGCAAGTACAGTAATATTTTAAATATAACATACTACGTCAAAAAAAACAGTTATTTTCTCTCGAAAATATTTACTGAATAATTTAAGTTTCCATCTTCATCACAAAGATCTTTCACTAGTTCGTGGTGTAGAACAAAATGTTTGTTTTTCAAGAACCTCTCGCTGTCATCCTCCATCGGGTAGCAGGGCGCTTTGACGGTAATCACCTCCGTGTTGCTGTCTTGCTGCATATAGGACACCTCAAATCCGAACTTATCCTGCTCCAGGGGCTTACCTAGGCAATAGACTGCAAAGCGCATCAAACCAGTCTCCTTGTCCAGGTCCCAGGTACATCTAAAAAGATTGTTGAACACGTAGAACACTATATAATAAATCCTGTCGATGCGGTTTCTGAAGCCGGACGACAGGAACTTCTGCCTGCTGGTGAAGAAAATGTTGTCTCGGTGCTGGGTTCTGCAGTGAACTATCAGTTCGGATTTTTCCCCATGCCACTGGCAACCGTTGAACCTGAGCGCGCAGGGGACCACGGAGAACTTACAGTGCTTCTGATGGAGCGTTATTTCTATGCACGACGCTTGGAAGTCGCACCCTTCTTCCACGTAAGGACACGGGAACGTGAGACAGGCTTGCACCTTCTCCAAAGTAATGGAGCGGTTTTCTGATTTCGGGGCCCTGCAAAGGGCGCATCTCGCGATCTTGTCGAAGCAGTCCTGGCAGAAGCAGTGGCCGTTGTGGCACTGGCGGATCGGCGGCAGCATGTACTTGGTGCAAATGGGGCACTCGAATTCCGATAGGAACTCTTCGTTGAGTAAAGCTGCTAGTTGTTTCTCCATTGGGATTTCTCGGTGGGACGTAGAATACTGAACTGCCAAGAGAATAAATTCTTGTGTGTGGGGAAAAAACGGTCCCACAAAAAACGTATACAATATCTTATCGGACTTAAATACACCTACATGTATTTTTATATGAATAGTAAATAAAGGACTTTGTACACTTACATTTAAGGTTGGTCTCAGTTCACGGACTATTCGAAATCAGTTCCTGAACAATTTTCATTGCATGAGTGCGCAGTACGCAATACTAGCCCAGTTACTGTAGCTGAAAATATAGTAATACCTCCGAATTTTTTATAACTGCATAGATTTTTCCACTTCTTATTTGCGGAAGGGCGAAATGGGCAGTGACTATTAGATGCCTTCATTATAGCCATCTTTCTCTATCGCACGGATTTCTATGACTTACTTTATCGCTCTCACGTAACGGCCGATGAACCATGGGGACTTTCCGACCCTGTATATACAAAAAATATCTAAATGCTTCAAAATTCTTGTTTGATCTAAATTGTCCTCAAATTATCACCTACACACGTGTTTATTTTTTTGACGATAACTTTCTTACTTTTTAAGATTTTTAATCGCACAAAGGCTCATTTTGCAGGGAATTGTAAGGGCTACGTGAACTGTTTTAAGTTTGAAGGGTTTAGGGCTCGAAAAGGGTGGTTCTCTCATTCATATGACAACTTAAAAGGGCGATATCTCGATTAATAATAATTTTAGAGGAATAAAGAATAAAGCAAAATCTTCAACAAAAATATTGCTAATTTTTTTACCCTTGTATTTTTTTCGTAAACCTTTTAATTTTTAACTTACAGCGTAAAAATCGATTTTTTTTTCAGCAATTTGAAAAATTAATATTTTAAGAAATTAAGTTTTTTTTTCGAAATCATGCTTTGTAAGTGAGCCAAAGACCCAGAACATATTCTTAGAACATAAATTAAGAAATCTGTAAATGGATTGCATTTAATTTTAATTCTGTCGCCAAAGGCACTAATTTGTTTATTAATTTTTTATTAAAAAAAATTAGACTATCATGTTATTTCGATCATATTTCCGTTAATTTTGATTCTAAAGACTTTTAAAACAGCTCATTTTAAAGGTTTTTCAAAGTACCTACTTTAAAAAAGGTGCAAATAGTTTTTTTCCTAATATTTATGGTTTTGGCGTTATTTAACGTTAACTGGTTCCAATTTGGTTTTTAGCTAACATATAATAATGTTTAAAAATCCATAACACGGTTTATATTGCAATTAGAGAAAAACGATATAATTTTATTAGATTTGTTTTTTATTACCTTTCTTTTTGTTCATTCCAACGTTTTCGTTAAATCCAATGGCTTCAGAGTTATTTGCAAAAAACTGTCCGAAAACAAGCACTTTTTCAGTAAAAAATCGACATTTTCAATGACGAATTACTCGGAAAGTATTGGATTATCCAAAAAACTTTTTATATCATTTATTACTTATAATTGACTCCTCTATCGATTCCTGTGGTTATTTTGGGCGTAAAAATTTAAACCACCCCCAGGGCAAAAGCACACTTCGGCACTATATAAATTTTGTTCCTTGAGGCATTCCCCACATTTAGTCAAAATTTCACGTTAATCGGTTCAGTTATAAAGAATTCGGAGGTAAAAACCCTGAGTAACTGGACTCTACAGGGTGTTTCCAAATGAAGTAGCAAAAATGGTACCAGCGAATATAAAGCCAAAAATAAGAGGATTGAAGTAAAAATACCTTGTATGAAAGTTGCACCTCTGAGGCGATATACCCTCTTAAAGAGGGGATTGAAATTCACATTTTTCAAAAAAAAAACATTCAAAAAAACTATTTAGTGAATAATAAACAGTCTCTGTCTCGGTGTGTCATAATAAATACAGGGTGTCTGCAAATTTCACCCACAACGAAAAAAAAAGTTAAATAAAACATATTCGATTTTTGAGTTACAAGTTTTCAAAGTTGTCAATAATAAAACTAATTTAATTAATAACTTTATAACCCCTTTGCCGATCGCGATAAAATTTGGCACATTTAATTGGACTATTGTGGCGTATTATTTCTTAAAACTGTAGTCAAATCGATATACTGGGTGATAGTTTTCTCCGGTTGCATCTCCCTTTTAAAGGTCTAAACTTTTACAGTGGCCGTATTTTTTTTAAAACGGGCAGCAACATTGAAAAGGTCGTTTTATTAAATAAATATTAACTTGAGAAAGTCGCCTACACAAAGCCATTCTTGAGAAAAATGGGGTTATTTGCAGGTCTGTATGTTTCGGTCACGGATTTTAAAACTTTGAGTTCAGTAGGCGATGAAAACAAGATGTTGATTTCTGTGGCTATCAGGTAATGTCATTATGGTCGTGTTTCTTTAAGATTCTCATCACTCCACACAGGAAAATTATGAAAATTTACAACTCCGTTCCTTGTAAAACAAGTTTTGTCGGTACAAAACTCTTTTTGAAGCAAATAATTATTATCTTCTGCGAAGCCATTCACCAACCAGTGGCAAAATTATAAACGTGCGTTGGGATCTAAATTTTCAAGTTCTTAAGCAGGAGTTGAATGAAATGTACGAAGATGTTGCTTTTTTAAAGTTTTGTGAACGTTTTACATACATTTAACTGTCTTGATAGAGTGGGAACACTTCATAATTTGCAAGTGTGGAGTTATGAGAACCCTAAAGAAACACGACAATAATGAGATTTGTGTAGGCGATTTTCTCAAGGAACAATATTTTTTTTTTAAATCAAACGACCTTTTCAATGTTGCTGCGAGTTTTAAAAAAATATGACCACTATAAAAGTTTTCACAGCTAAAAGGGAGAGGTAACCGGAGAAAACTCTCACCCAGTATATCGATTTGACTAAATCTTTAAGAAATAATACGCCACAATAGTCCAAATAAATGTGTCAAATTTTAACGCGATCGGTAAAAGGGTTATGAAGTTATTAATTAAATTACTTAGTGTTATTTTTGACAACTTTGAAGGCCTGTAACTCAAAAACCAAAAAGTATTTATTTAACTTTTTTTCGTAGATCGTATTTATTTATCGTCGTGAATATGCAGCCAAACGTTGTCGATGAAATTTGCGGACACACTGTATATCTTCATTTTGTTGTTAAAACCACTAATTCACCATTACATTTATTATAGCTTCTATTTGAAATCACGTTTTAAATATTTCGGAAATCAAACCAAATGTTGCACAAAATATATTTATTTTTGAATATGTGAAAGTAATAGTTTATAAAAAAAATATTATAAAAGAAAAACATATCTTTGCACAAAATGAAAGAATAATAAACTAAACACAGTTTTTCATAAACGGAAGTTGTTTTATAAAAACTGACGACGTTTTGATCTGGTAGCTCGGTTGAGTCTACAAACGTCAAATTCTTCACAAAATACATTATCGTAATCCTCATTCATAGCCGGTCGATAGGTTTTCATTGCGAATTGGTAGATCTGTTATCAGCTTCAGTGGATTCCTTCGAATCGGTCTCAGATTTCGGCTTTCCGTAGATTTCGTTCAACTTATCCATACCTAAAATAAATTAAATTATTAAAACGGAATCCTTATAAAAAAATAAAACTTTCTACAGTTACTGTTAAAAAAATAAAATCTCTAAATTTAAGCCATCTAGTTTGCTTATAAAAAACTTACCAGTTGCGGGGTCGATAATAGCAATGGCCTTTGGCCTTCTCTGGTTTGGCATTTTCTGAGATGGTATAAAAAGTGGAAAAGGCTGCATAGGAATGGTTGGAAAATGTGAAGTCTCTGGTGGAATCAGGGGGTTGAAATTGCCTGAACAAAAAAAATATTGTACAATTAACAAAATAACTAAGATTTAGTTAACTGACAAAATGTGAAACCAAAACTTGAATTGAGCAAATTATTACTTGAAAAAACCTACAGTTTTACGAACTCGTTTATTTTCACTAAAAGAAACTGCGATACGTTTATACCGGGTGTCCCTGAATAACGTGTACATGTACAATGGAGGCAGATTTAGACTTATTCACTTATATCTAAAACCGCTTCGTTTGGCAAAAATTGATGTTTGGTGATAAAATTCGTCCATAACTTTATCGTCTTTCTGACAATAATGACAACTATTTTTTATTTAATCGGTGATGTTATTTGGAAGTTTGGGTCTCTTGTAGAATTTTGATTAAATTAGCGGTTTGGGTACAAACAATATTTTTTAAATGTATACATTATTTTGCCATCCATATTACAACACAGTCAACCTACAAAATCAGTGCACTTTGTTAAGTATTGTAATATGGGTGGCAAGATAATGTAGACATTTAAAAACATTTTTTTGTACCCAAACCACTCATTTAATCAAAATTCTATAAGAGGCCCAAAAACTTCCCAATGGTATCACCTATCAAATAAAAAATTGTTATTATTATTGCCCGAAAGAGGAAAAGTTATGAACGGATATTATCATCACACATCACTTTTGTAGGAGTTACGAGTTTTAAAAAACACTCTGTATAACAACAAAATGTGTAGATTGAAAGCAAAAGCCCACACTCAAAAAATAATCAAAATCGATTAATACGCATTCGAGTTATTTACAAAATTCAAAAAATTTTCACGAACTTTGAGGCCATCTAGCGGCCAAACCAAGCGATTTCGGATATAGGTGAATTAGCTTAAATCTGCTTATTTTGAGTCCATGAATCTCTGTCTTCCGTTGCAAACATTTTTTTGGAACACCCTGTATATAAAAAACGTTAGAATTCTTTGTTTAATGAAGTTGTACTTACAATTAGCAAATGATGGAGATGGAGTGCATCTAGAATCGTACTGAAAGTTTGAATTTTGCCCACCGTAGTTCACATTTGGTTCGAAACCTGGTGGCGGCACTGCTTCGTTAAATGGCATCAAGTTCGCTTCTGGACTGTACATTGGCGGAGGTGCAAATTGGGCTGGAGCACCAAACATTGTCTCTGGCGGCTGTAAAAGTTAAAAAAATTATCAATTTTAAAAAGTGCATTACCATCTAACACAAACAGTAACAAATACTAATATAAAAGTCAATGTTGGATGAAAAAACTGAACAAAAAAAACTGTATTTACCACATAGTCCACTGGAGACATCACCTGCTGCGTCGCGAAATTTGGCGGTCCCTGTTGCAGGCCGAAGTTCATCGAAGGATAGTGTTGAGACGACATAGCACAAGGTGGTTGTTGCTGTGGTGGATACCCGTTAAATGTCTGCTGTCCAAATGCGTTGTACTCCAGGGGACACTGAGAGGGATCAAAAGTTACAGGACCAACCTGTGGTGGGGCACAGGTTACCGGAGGGTACTGTGGTGGCACGTAACTAATTGGCTGGAACTGGGGATAACCCACAAAACTCATCCTGGGTGGGTGATCCGGTGGTGGATGGTGGAACTGGTACCTGCCTGGTCGCTTCTGATTGGCTGGTGACATCTGGACGACGGCGGTCCCGCGTGGGAGATGCTGGTACGAATTTGGCGGTGATGATGCTTCGTTAGGTGAGAAACTCTTGTAAATATAGACCATATTTATCACTCGGATTAGCAGGCACTTTGCAGTAAGTGATCGGTAGACCAAGTGATAACGCTTGGTAGGTAATTGAAATCCTTTATGTATTTGGACTTCGGGGACGCGCGCGCACTTGGAGGGGGTTGGAATGTGCAGGGGTGGGTTGGACCAATAGCAGGTGACTTAACAAATCATTAGATATTATCTGTCTTTATCACAACAAGTCGCAATAAAGACAAATAATAAGTAATGATATAAAATTATAAAATATTTATATGAAATATAAGTATTTTCAAATTACTTAAGATCACTTTTCAATAAATATTTAGCCTTAAAAATATATTTTTTGCATTTATAAGACGTAAACGGCTAAATATACTGGGTGTTCATTAAGTACTCGTCCAGACTTTAAAGGGTGAATCTTTGACTAATTTAAAGATAAACAGTTCATATGAACATGAACCAACGGTTTGGTTCTTGAGATACAGAACGTCCAAAAAAAATTGTTGTTTGGTATTTTGATTATATTTTTGTTCAATAACATGGAAATTTGATGAAATTCGGGAAACTGGGAATACTGATGACGAGAAACTCAAATATTTACTTAGTTTTTTGTTTAATATTAGAGTGTTGTACCTAGATTTAAATAACCATAACATTTTTGTGTCATTTTTGATTAAACGTATCTATTTTTCACTCAATTTTACATACAAACGGTACTCTTAGTGTATGTCGTTTTGTAAAAAACTGGTTTAAACTTAAACTTGTGGAATTTTGAAAGTTGAATCATCAAGAGTTTTTGAAAACCACGTGAAAAATGTGTATTTTATTGATTGTATTGCGATGTGACAAACTTAGATCAGTTACAAGACTAAGACTACCTCTACAAATAAATTAATAACATTTACAATACTTGTTAAAACAATTTTTTTTATATATCAAGAACCAAACCGTTGCCGGCCCATGTTCATATGAACTTTTTATCTTAAAATTAATTAAAGATTCACCCTTTAAAGTTTGTACAAGTACATAATAAACACCCTATATGAATTGTTTTTAAAACATTTCAAAATAGTAAGTAAATAATTAATAAGTTTTTTAATTTTTGCCATCATTTCAAACCTTGGTTGTCTCTATTTGTTATTACATTTACAATACATTACCGCATTATATCTAAAATACTAATAATAATAAAATACTTAATAGAAATTTATTTTTTCGTTCAGTGCAAGGGCCACATTTTTTACAAAATCTAATTCAAACGCGATAAATTATTGGTCTTTATTATATCGCAAAAAATCAAGGCATAATTTCCATTTACTGAATAAAATATTGAACCACGAGGATCAATTAAAACATGTTTTGAAAAATTTTCCCAATCTCTAAAAACAATTAATGTATCATCTGTTACCGTGTAATGCAAAAGTCAAGCTGTGCAGTATTTCACTAAACGAATTGTAAAGTTAGAATGTGTTTATGAATAAAAAATCTGTAACAAACTATGCTCCAAAGAATTTTATTAAAATTTAAGTTGACAGTAAACGATTAGTTGGGAAAAAGACAATAGTAATTGTACTTAGCAGAATTATGCCATTGTACAGTTTTACATTGAATTTTATCAATTAGAATATTCAATATAATATTGTCCAGTATAATTTTCGTCAATATTGTCATTTTATTAAGTAAATATTATGAAATTTGTTTCAAATTTTCATTGAAATTTTAAAAGGTATAAGGTATTTTTGCCAAATTTGCAAAAAAAAATCATACAAAAGTATTTTTAGGTTAATTTAAAATAAACTACCAACTTAAAAGTGAAAAATTAGCAGTTAATTTTTTTTATTTCGCAAATATCTGCATTTAAAAAATTGTACTTGTTATAGTTTTTTGCAAACAGTAGGCCATGAAATTTGGTTAGAAACAACACTTACATAAAGAGAAGTAATATCATTTTGAATAGATTTTAAAACCTCAATTTTTTGATAGGAACAAGTTATTTATATACTTTTGTTTGGCATATAATTAAGTCAAAAAAAACATAGTAGCAGTGCAAAAAAATGTTTTTAAACGTGAATTGGAATAACATAAAAAAAAACTGGAAACGGTCAGTTTCTATAAATTTCAAAAAGGTTTGTGAATTTTAGATTACTTCTGACGACTATAATATATATTTTTTTAAATTTAGGTAATTTAATTTTCAATGCAATTCCTTTTTTGGTATATTGTTAAAATAAAAACTGTTTCAAGTGACTACATAGGCTAAACAATACATTGCAAGTCTCTCACTTTCGAAGTCTAATATTGAGTTCCAAAATTCGACAACATTTTACTTTGATATTAAGTATCTTAAAAAATTAGCTTTAAAAAGACTCTAATCACTCATATATGTTTCTACACCCTTCTCACTAAATGTTCACAAATGCAGGCAAATCGAAATAAAACTCAGTGCTGCACAGAAATGTAAAATATTCTGTAACCATCTAGTGGTGGGAAGTTGTACCAAAATTTTAACGAAGTAGAATAATCTTTTGTAAATATAGACGACTTATGTACTTCTATGGTAAAATAGATCTCATCGAGTTATATTCAAAGCTCAAACTATGGATATTAAAACCATTCTAATTCTATCTTGTAAGTTATTGATTTTATGAAGCCAGTTTACCCCAGTCGCCCCCAACATGTCTCTGGATCTGACATCTGAACAGTTTGCGCGAAATCGTGTGAAGTCTCGAGCCTCAATTTTATCATTACCCAAGTTAAAATGTTCATTTATTAGCTCTAAGTACCTCGCACCGAGAAAATTATAGACTTCAACGCTAGCATGAACTAGTTTTCCCAATCAGAGCAAGTAGTTTCGCTCAATCAAAAGCAACATTCAACGGCAGCCGCTGCAGAGTTCAGAACAAAGGCACAGGGAAGGAGTGAAAATACGTTTTATCACGTATCAGTGGTCATTTTACTTGGAGTCGGGATGGACATGTAGGATAGATGAAGCATTTTGGTTCGTGTAATTCAATTGGGTCCAAGAAGTCGCAACGAAGTCTCAAAAAAATTAAGTAAAGTCCATAAAATATCTAGAAAATATTCTGATATATCTATATGCCTTATTTCTTTTCTTTTTATGTCTAAATAAATTAAGTACCTATCTAGGTAAGTCCAATTTTAGTAAAATCGTCACTTTTTACCTGCATAAATTGTACCTTAATGTATAATACAAGAGGTAAAATGATCACATTACTTGGATTAAACTAATTGACAATTATTTCTGTAACCATAAAGCAAATTCTAACATGACACAACCCTTTGATATTTCTCGGTAGTTACTAATGTCGATTTTATTAACGATTTAGAGGATTAAATTCTGCAATCCACCTAAATGTTATTCTGAGAATGAACTAATAAATCGATTTAATTTTGGATCATTAGAAACCAGATGTAATCATACTGATTCGATATTTACACAACCACCTGAATGAAAAGGTTGATTGTCCGGAACTTCTGAGTAAAATTAATATTTTGATATCTTGTGAAAATCCTAAAGAGCAAGAATTATTTTATTATGCTGCCCCATAAAGTACACCTTTAATATATTATTTCATTAATTTTTAGACCACTGCACATGTAAACCATCTAATCCAGATGAGCGGGAATTATAAGACGCGCGTCTTTTTCAGCCTGCAGATCCTCCACAGTTCGTCAGCTGTGTGTAATAAGTAAAGTACATTTTTATTAAAAAAAAAACTGTCTAAAGTAATTTTCGAAGAAATCGATTGCAAAAATATAGTAGTAGTCCGTGGATAGGCAACTGGATCATCGTAATAGGCTCAATAAGTACATCTAAATGGCCAATATACAGGGTGTAAATAAATAAGTGCAAAAAAAGTCAGGGGTTGAAAAACAAGGTGGGTCTTTCATATACAGGGTGTTTCAGAAAGACCTCCCGTAAATACAGGGTATGATAGTACGATAAAAAATAAGAATTTTTTTGTCTTATGAACTATATGTCTATCTCCTCTTGTTTTCGAGATACAGAGCGACAAAATAAAATTTTTTAAATAGAATTTTTACGAAAATTTCCAAACGGTGCGAATAATTTTTATGAAAGTTGGTATTCCGGGGTTTTTAAGGATGCCAAATACGCTGGTCTAATTATTTTTTGGATATTTCATAGAGGGCGCTAGTTATGCTACATTCCTATTACATTTTAAGTTAAAAAATTTTTAGGTTAGGTTTTTTACCATTCGGGGCCCAATTTCCAATGTACAATTTTATTTTCTAAAAATAATGTACTCTTGTTAGAACTTCCTAATGTGGACGGTTTTCGAGAAAAAAGGCTTTTACATTAATGACTAATTACAGTCACTAAAATTTTGATATAAGATTAATTAGAGTTTAAAATATTATTAAGAATGTATGCGTTGTTTATGAGACGTCCATCAATAAGTTTTCACATAAGCCTACTTTGAGAAAAATCACTAATTGTATATTGTAAGAGAGTTAGAATGAATCCAAAATAAATTTTTAAATGGTAAGACAGTAAGAAGTAATAAAGGAGTAAAAGTTACGTATGAAACAAGTCTTAGGGGTGGCTTTTTCTACCCCTTACAATCGTAGGGGAAAATCAACAAATTGTTTACTGAGTGCCTTCTCGATAGCAGAAAATGTGTACTTAATTTCATTTCTGTCACTTTTTTATGCAAGACCCACCTTATTTAGCAATAGGGCTCACCCCCTGAATTTTTTCGCACACTTATTTATTTACATCCTGTAGCGCATACAAAAATATTTAAATCGCACACCCCAAAACATTTTTAGACGGTTATCCTTGTTCTTACTGGGCCACAATGTATGAGTAATATACCACAAATATAGACCACAACATAATTTTTTTCAGTGTCCCTGTTTCTGTTATTGAACCTTTTTTAGAATATTGAATGATGTTATTCTTTAGCATATCAAAGTATTCTTAATTTTATGCAACTACAACAAAATTTTGTGGTCTTAGAAACAGGATACTA